TCCCCTTCTTCCACACTAGGAATAGACAGACCAGAAATATCATTATGTTGTCTTCTAGCATTGGCAATAGAATGAAATAATTATGTATTTAAATCCCCATCCTTAAACCATTTTATTTTTGACCTTTGTCTTCAATACACCTCTCCTAACCTAAGATACCCTTGTAAAGTTGTCAGCAAGGTATTCCTCTCATTTAAGATATCCTCTAATAGAATACCTGAGACTTGAATCTTTTGGTCCAAAACCTAAATCTCAGACATAGTATTATAAAAATATGTGGCGGAGAAAATATTTGAACCTATGACATCAAGGTTATGAGCTTTTTGAGCTACCATACTGCTCTACCTTGTTCTAAAACACTGGGTATTACTAATGTATAATGTAGAAACAGGGATTGGATGTGCCCCCTTCCATATCTATATAAATAGTATAGCTCATTTATACATAATGGTAAAAGGGACTCAGCCCTTCTATGGTCATAGATATTCATAGAAATTTGAAGGAGTTTTTTTTCTTTACCAGCTCAACCTTGTTGCCCCTGGTAACAAACACGTACGAACCATCTCGCGAAGTACGTGTATGTATAACCCAAAGTCTCGATAGTTAACTATAGGTCTTCTGGTCGAAACCAATATCTAGGTGCACTATTATGTGTTGGGGATTCCAACTTTCCAAGAATTTTCCATTTGTCACTCAATGATGGAGTTTTTCTTATTTAATTTTTTAAGGATCGACGAATCACATAAAAATTATGTTCCAATTTTGCCTCTTCATTTCCCTTTGAATCAGACTTTTTCTTGTCATATGAAGTTCCTATTATTCCCAGTGATACAAGTTGAATCCTAGATGTAGAAATATTAAGAAGATGGATCTTGTTGATATTTATCTTGAATTCTTAATTTTAAGGGATTGATTTCTTTTAATTTAGTTTTTTTATTTATTTGGGTAGAGCCTATTATTTAGGATCTAAGTTTATGGATAAATCCTACTTAAATTATGATGGAGCCTTAGGTCCACAAGTAGATAGAGATAAAGTTAAGTTTCCTAACTTTATGGGAAAAGATAGAGCCCCACGTACCACCTCTTTGGGGTTTGCTTTTTTCTATATAATGGGTTATTTAGAGAGAGAAAAAGATCTAAAACAATAGAGGGAATCTTTTTGGGGTTTTTGCAGAGAGAGGAAATTGTAGAGAAGAAAGCTTCGTGGAAGATTGAGTCTTTGGTTTTCTAAATAAGTTGCCTTATAATTTTTTTCTTTGATTTAGTGAAAAACATCGATCGTCTTCGCACATAGATGTCACGTAAATCATGGTGTTCTTTTTCTGTTATTTATTTCCTGCTTTATTTTTGTTGTTTGTTGCTTGTTTTTTGTCGATTTTTTTTTCTCATATTTTATTTAACAAAAACTCAACCCATCGGGTTTAGAGCTTCAACTCACAATAAGTGGTATTAGAGCCCTGGTTTGGGGTTTTTGGTACGACAGTAAAAGTTTCTAATGCAAAGTTCGAGGTGGAAAAATTTGATGGCAAAAATAATTTTGGAATTTGGCAAATCAATGTTCAGGATTTGCTAATACAATAAGGTTTATATAAAGTTCTGAAAGGAAAGTCGAATATACCAGAATCTATGTCTGATGATACCTGAGAAGACTTAGATTTGAGGGCTATGTATTCGATTGTGATTATTGAGTGAGGTACTATTGAATTTTGTCAATAAGGATTTGGCTCCAAGTCTTTGGTCGAAGCTTGAGAGTTTGTATATGATAAAGTCCCTCACAAATCGATTGTTTTTTACGAAAACATTATACACCCTACAGATGAATGAAAGTACATATATCCATGAACACCTGAATTATTTTAATACAATTATTTATGAATTATTGAATATTGGTGTTAAAATGGATGATGACAATAAAGCTATAATTTTATTATTATCACTCACTTATTTGTATGAGCATCTAGTCATAACATTACTTTATAGAAAAGATACCATAGAGATAGAGGATGTGACTTTGATTATTCTCTCTAATGATTTGAGGAAAAGACATGATAATGCTTAGCCACATGCATATGGTTTAATGGTTAGAGGGAGATATGTGGAGAGAAGTGGAAAGAGACAAGAAAAATAGGGCCGGTCCATATCAAAATCCAAATCAGAAAAAAGTAATATTTATTGTAATTACTACAAGAAAAAAGGTCATGTTAAGAATGATTGTTGAAAACTCAAAGGGAAAGAAATAAGAGCTTATGAAGCAACTAATATAGTTGATGAAAGCTTAGTAAGTGGAATAGATAATGTGTTGTCGGTCTTGACAAATTGTGACAACTCTAAAGACTCGTGAGTTCTTGATTCAGGATGTTCCTATCAGATGTGCCTTCATCAGGATTGGTTCACCATATATAAAAGCATTGATGGTGGATTAGTTTTGATGGGGAATAAAGCAGCTTGCAAGACCATTGGTGTTATGACAATTGCTATTAAGATGTATGATGGAGTTATCAGAACCTTAACTGATGTTAGACACATTCCAAATTTGAAGAATAACAGTATTTCTCTGAGTACCTTAGACTCCAAGGGCTGCACATTTGTTGGAGAAGGTGGAGTTCTGAGGATTCTTAAGGGTACTCTAGTTGTGATGAAAGGCAAGAAGATCATATCGAATTTATATGTGCTGCTTGAGAATACTATCATAGTTAGAGCAGCAATTTCAGTATCTGATGATGGTGATTCTGACTTGACTCAGTTGTGGCATATAAAATTAGGCTACATGGGTGAGAGAGCTTTGACAAAACTTAGCAAACGCGAATTGATTAATGGCGTGAAGAAGTGCAAGTTGGACTTCTGTAAGAGCTGTGTTTATGGTAAGCAGTGTAGGGTATAGTTTCGCACGTCAGAACATATCACAAAATGCATTCTTGACTATATCAATCCCCAAGCACTTAACCTTCTTTCCAGTCTGTCTTTAACCATAGCTTTCCAATGTTCAGATTTTCAGATTAGCTTGGGTAATCCGTCAAAAAAGTAGTTTTGATTAGCTTGGGTAATTCATATTTTCTTGTATCTCTCTCCTCTACCTTTTCTCCTACTTGCTTGGTTCAAATCTACTCAAAAAACCATATTATCTTCTCCTAAACTCATTCTCCAATTCAACTGCAGATTGTTTTGGTAATGGGCTTACTCGTCACTAATCTGGACCCTTTATGAACTTCGAACACCACCGCTCTGATCCTTCACTCTCAAACCTATCAGACTATGAGACCACCATCCCCAACTTCTTCGAGTTCTGTGATCCCAAGCACAAGGAATATTGTCCATGCCATGACACCAAGAGAGAGAAGAAATTTGACACCCATATACTATTTTTTAGAGACTATTCGTATCAAATGAGTATTATTGGTTTTAATTTTGTAGGACTTCTGTCAAGAAACTTTAGTTTCTGGGAATGGTCATAGTCAAATTTGGAAATTGGAAGGTAGTTTCGGGTTCATAATGAATGAGGATTTGGTTTCAGTGCTCTTATTGAACACTGATTTCTGAAGTGATCAACTTTACTTTCATGGCTAATTAAAATGTTGTTTATCGTTTTTTCTATATTTCTGTTTAACTAATCCATGTCACATCCTTATTTGAGAAATTGCTCGGATGTCGTTTGGATGACAATTGAATTATCCATTAACCTTTTCAATGCCCTTTAGAAAAATATTACTAAGTTATTGAGAAGGTTTTCTTCATTATGCGCCAAATTGTGGCAATACTCTATCATGAATATTCGCATCCTATCTGTTATCTACTGTAAGGATCTTCAGCTGTATTCGGTTTGAAAGAAACAATAAGATTGGCTGCAATGATTATGATGGCATCACATTGTTAGCATGATTTAGTCATTAAGGGGAAGGTGAAGTAATCAGCTGAGATGTTTTCATGCAACATGTGGGTGTAGAGAGAGAGAGCATTAGCTGGGGATGGACTTGATGACAATATTCTGATTATGACATTTCATATGGGATGGCTCCTAATGGAAGACATGGCTTTAACCGCAGATGAGACCTTGGTCTCTTCTTATATGAGATATTTCCTTCTTCTTATACTTATCTATTTCTATGCTCTCTAGTCTATTCATTGCCCATTTAGCTCCTTACTGATTGTGACACTACCATATTCTATTCACCTTTTGCTTGGGTTTTTATGAATGTGAATTTGAATTATAGACAACTTGAACTTAGAGAAACCTATGCTTGAAGAATAGGCCCTTACTAATTATCTTGCTTTCTTTTATAGGATTTGATTAGATTTCTGTTATTACGCTTTCTTTTGTTATGCTTTATTTATGGTTCAATAGTACAGGTGTTTATGTTTCTGGTTGAGCATGTATATTCCAACATTGTCTTTTTTTGCATCATTGGGAACCTTTTGTGTGCTAAATGCTAAACAGCTCAGCATGTTGAATTGTGGTCAATGCATTCTTATTATGATCTTTTATGTTGAATTCTATGATGGTTTTACTTTGTACAGTTTTGGCATATTCAACGCATTGAGTTTCCTTAATCTCTATATGACAATTTTTTGCGTTGTTTTTCTTTAAAGTGTCTAGACGATATACATCTGTATTCTCGTTGTTGTAAAACTTGGTTACTGGATTGTACTTTGAGCTTCCAATGATTACTAAAATTCGTTGTGGTACTTTGTTGTGGCTTTTTCTGCATTTTTTCTATCTATGTTTGAGCTATAATGACTTGTACTTTTATTTATTTAGGCTTAATATTTAATGCCTTTTAGTTTAAAGAAATCAACCTAACGAAGCTTTATTATATCTGCTAAAGATTACCATAATAATATGAGCTAGTGGAACCCTGTAGAGGAGGCCCAATAACTTGTTTAACTTCCTAAGAGGTTATCAAACACAAAAATCAAAAACTTCTTTAACATCCTAAAAAGTTATCAAGTACATAAATCCGGAACTTTTTACAGTGACTTATATCTTCTCAGCAAGAACAAACTATCCATTTACGGTTCATGAACTTGCTTCTAGTTATCAACCAGCCCTAAGGGACCATCTTAAGGCACGGTTCTTACCCGACCTGCGAGCACCCTTACTTGTTACTACGGTAGAGACTAGCAAGAGTTTTCGAAAATCTCGGGATGACTCTGGCCATGTTTTAGTAACTCACAAACAAAAAATTTCAAATTTGAGGGGCAGAGAGAGAGGAAGAAGAGGAACCATGAGCAATGGAGAGGCCCCAGACCTCGTCTGCCAGCTCGATGATGTCCAAGGCATTGTGGACGCCCTCACCTCTGTGAGATGGAAGAAACACCAGGTCCTCCCTTCTCTCTCTTAACGCCTTCCATTTTTCTCTTTCTCAGACACTCTTTCTAAATGCCTTTCGTTCTTCTATTTCTAGGGTTACTCCCTCTCTCTCTGTGTCTTCATCTAAATGTATTTCATTTTCCTTGACAAAGGCATGAATTATGTTGTCCATGATTTTGTCTTGTTGTCTGTGAATTCAGGATGCTTTGGTAGAGCTTTCTGAACATGGCATTGTTCTTGTGGTAGAGGAATCTGGCTGCCTTCAAGCCAAAGTTTATTTGAAGAAAGATGTATCTATTCTGAACTCCTGATACTGATGCTCCCCTTTCATTCCTTCTTTTATTTTTTTCCTCTCTCAGTTTCTGATGTGGAAATGCTTACTGATCTAAGGTTTTGTGGGTGTTTTCTTTTTTTGGTAGATTTTCCATTTGTATGAATATGGTGCAGAAGAGCGCCCTAGATTTGGATTAGGGTTAGGGTTGTTTGTTGATTGCCTTAATACTTTTACTGCACCTGCATGCTCCACTACTCTTGAAATTCGCTATCCCGGACCAGATATGCAGCTTCTTCTCAAGTAAGTCAGATTTCTTATTTCCTTGATTGTTTTTTGTGTCCCAATGATGGTTAATAGAGGTTGAATTTGTATTTTGGATGTTTCTTGTCCTTACTTTTGAAACTGTCCTTTGTCAAGGAAAGGTCTTAGCGAGAGCTTATGTTGCAATATGTTAAGCTAATTAATACTGCCAAATGATGTTATATCCATTATTATCAAAAAAAAAATTGATGTTATATCCATTTACTCTCTCGAGTAAAAGCCAATCTAGGACTACTTTTTAGACCCCAAATTTTTGGATGTTAACTCTTCAACTCGTAGACTAACATCACTAAAAAAAGATCTGTAAATTGAACTCTCTATGTCGTCTCAAGCTTTAACAAAGGGCGTTCAATTTTTTGGGGGGTGAGATCTAAGTGTTTAGACAACTCAAAATCCACTTTCTTTGTTTTCAAAATAATCATCTTGGCATCTTGGGTGGTTCCCAAAATTTCAGGTTGAAGAAGTCCTCCCAGGCCTTTTGATCGATGGGGTAGGATTACAGAATATGCTCTTGTGGAAGCATAGTAAATGTGTTCTTTAGTATTTACCACATGAGAAGATGCACATTGATGTGTTATTCTCGTGGTCCGTCCATCAAAGAGAAAATCATAGGGAAAAAAATGGACATTGTTCAGTTTTTTTCTTTCATTGTTCTGTCATTGTTCTTTTAAAGCTTCACTAGTGGATTTCCTTTATGTTCAACATATGTGGAAGCTTCAAATTAGGAACCTAATATACATCATTGATGAATGAAAAAAGAATTATTCAAAAATTGACTCCATTTGAGACCATCTAGATTATAAACCTACTACTTCCAATTCTATTTAGAAACTTTTCCCATTTTGGAACTCAAATTATTTTTCCAAGCATGGTTGAGATTCATCTTATTTCCCCCAACATTTGCAGAGGGCTCATCCATCGACAAAAAAATGGGCACTAGACTGAAGTTTGTCCAAGATACCCTTGATACCTTTGTATGTGTTTTATTTCATGCTATGTATGAAAAGTCAACTGCCCGACTGCCTAGGCGGACTTTTTTAAAAAACGCCTAGGTGTGGTTAAGGCGGATAGTATTAGGTGGAAAATACTAGGCGCTCGACTAGGCGGTGTATAAGGTGGGCGTCTAGGTACTGCCTCGACCCTATTAGCATTACAAAGCTTGAGGAAAAAGATGAAAGATATTTTCTTTAGACAGTTTTGTAGATGGAAATCCATGAGTAGTCACTATTAGCATGAGAGAGAGAGATAGGAAAAAGGTAAGGTATTCTTGGCTCGTTTTGGAGAGAGAGAGAGAGAGAGAGAGAGAGAGAGAGAGAGAGAGAGAGAGAGA